TGAAGGAGAGCCCGGGCTAAAAACAACCAAACGGACCAATCTAGGCTGTTTTTTGGGCGATGGCCCATGAAAGTCCTGAAGGAGAGGGTCGATTTAGGCTGTTTTTGGGTAGGTCCCTGGCCCCAGACAGCCCAACCAAAAAGCAGCCTATTTTGACGAAGTAAATTGTTTTTGGGGCCCGCCGTCTGGGCGAGCTGGGGTTTTGTGGGCCCCCTCGGGAAAAAAAGGCGCCCACGCACGAGCGCCCCAACGGTCGGACACACGCCCTCCGAACCCAAACGCCCAAGTTCAAGCCCGGCCTGGCCGCTTCTGGGCTTTTCTTTCCAGCATAGTGTGTGTCTGTGCGTGTGTGGTGCGCGGAATCAACCAAGCAAGTCACTCCACCAACTAACAACGGCCATGCACCGCCACCCATAGAATGAGCTATCAAACTGTCAATCCTATTACTATGTCTGTGATTCCGACGAAACGAAACGAAACGAACCGAGCCCCGAACCGAATCGGTTCGAATCGAAACCAATTCCTAGAATACCAATTCTTTAAATAAGGAACCGAACCGACTAACTGACGATCGAATCGAACCCACCCTGTCAGTTGGGCTGACATCAGGCCACCCCTGTCTTCGGTGGGACAGAGATGGGAAGTCAGAGAAATTATTCTTTCTCCCTGCTATTTGCGGTCTAGCAGTGAGGACTGTGTGGTTCCTATGACCATTCTTCATGTAGCTGATACGGTGGTTCTGACAGAAATGACGGAGGTCAAAGATGTCGTATCTGATGGAGCCACTATTTGCTTGATCTTGAAACTCTTGTTCCCAAAAATGTTTTACAAAATCGTCATGGCCCTTGGCTGATATGAAATCATTGGTTGGTGTCATGGAATGTCCGGGTACAGGACCCTGGCATGAATTAAATGTATGCGGTGAATTCCGGCCTTTCGATGCAAAATGTAGACTAGGCTCCTTCAGCCTCTTAGGAATCATGTGGTAACAACCACAGAAACATGTCGAATCAGTGAAGGAATCAGGTGCTCGGAGCGTGACTGAATGTGCATACTCACAATCAGATCGGGCATTGTATCCTGATGTCTGCACCTCATGTCGTGGAAGAACTGGAGAGAGACAATCCTTCATCCAAGTAATCAAGCGATAAAAACCACTCTGGCTTCCTTGGCATGATAGGAAATTTTCCAACGGCCAACAGTTCTGCACTGTACCAAACTTATCAACATGCGGGCCTTGAAAAGAAGCCCGGTGGACATTGCCAGTGGAAGTGCTAGGAGTCGACTGCTTGGGAATAAACCATTCTGGATATGCTTCATCAGAAGATGTGTCACTTGAATGACCTTCACCACTTGTGTAAGAGAAATGAGTGTACATCCAGAGTTCATGAGGATCCTCATGATCCAACAATGACTCCGTAGAGCTGACAAAAGTCTGCGGACTCGGAGAAGGCTGAAGTTGGAATGTTTGGTCATCTGGTTTTCGAGTTGGTGGAGATTGGAGGGATTCACACACACCAAAACGACCGATCATCCATGGCTCACGAAATTCGTCCACTTCGGATACCAGACCGTATCCTGCACATAGCTCGGAAGATTCGAAGAGTTGTGCCCAGGGCTCAAAAATCTCAGGCATAGGCCGATATGTAGGGTCCCAGGTAGTCTTCGGCATCCGTGGCTGATCATTCATCAAGAAAGGATCAGCTGGACGTGCGTTCAATGGGCGCTGGCATCCAAATCGAAGTCTGCCGCCCTCATACCAGAACATGATAACGCACGAAGATGCTGAATGGAATAAAGGCATCAAATGTCGATCAACCTTCAGCGTAATCGTGATCCCATCATCGTCAGTAGCGGTCAGAACAGTAAAATGTAAGGTCCGCTGCAAAACTTGGGTGGGGGTGACGCGAAAATGTCCGGCTTTTCTCCATAGCGTATTGCCAGCGAAAGACGTCGTGATGGGCAGACAATCCCATGCCATGGCTCGATCGGCGCCCCACTTTCGTGAGGTAACGGGATCGCCAGGTCCCCGTGGGGACGGTGGGCTCGAGCCTAAATCCTCTGGCCTTACTGCTAGGAGCAAGGACGCTACTAGGGGCTCCTGGCCTTACTACTAGGAGCAAGGACGCTACTAGGGGCTCCTGGTCTTACTACTAGGAGCAAGGACACTATTAGGGGCTCCTGGCCTTACTACTAGGAGCAAGGACGCTACTAGGGGCTCCTGGCCTTACTACTAGGAGCAAGGACGCTATTAGGGGCTCCTGGCCTTACTACTA